CACATCTGCTAAGGATTGTTTTCAGCCTCGCTCACGTTCTTCTCTCTTCACTGCTTGAGCCTTTCCTCTTCCTGACCTCAGTTAGCTCTATTACCCGTTTCTTCTTTTCCTTCATAAGAACTGAGGTCAGACCAAGAACAATAAACAGTCCAAAGGAGGTAGAAGAAGCCTCTGAAGAACTCTCTTGTGCATGTGTTTGCCAGCTGAATCACAATATACTGTGGCCTTGGAACAGATGGCCAGAGCCAGCCCTCAAGGCTGTCAGAATCGATGCACTTTTACAGAAAAGTATATGGTGAGACTATCCAGCCTTTTGGAGGAATAAAACTTCTCATGTGCAAGCTAAAATTAGAGTCTGAGGCTTCTGATACATCCCATTCTTAAAGGATGGAGTCCTTTGGGGTAAATTCATACAGTAAAAGGGACAGATATTTTAAAAAGGAAGATCGAAAAAACCCAACATGTTTTGCTTCTTCCTTTTTGAGTCTGTATGATAACAGATTTTTCTCAACGGAACACAAAAAGAAAACGCTAAGAAATCTGTATTTCAGGTAAAATCTGAGGAGGAAGTAACAGGCAAACCTGAGCTTCCCAACAGGAGGAGTACCCCATTTGTTTGGCTACTGTACAGATATCACTGATTCAGTGTCAGAAACACACAAATAAAAGAGTACAAGACAAAATGAAATATGTGACTTACATGTGCTCCAGCTCTCTTTGCGTATCTTCCAAAGAAATGCCCAGCAGCACACAGAGGCCTCGTCCTATTGAACTTATTTGTTCACCACCCACTAGAGAAGGGGGTAAAAAGAAAATTAAGACTAAATGCACTGTCATGTTTTATGACACAGGTAAGTACCGATTTCAGCTGGCAACTGTACAACCACCAAAGAAATCATTCTAAACCCTTCTTCTCTGTCTTAAGCTTGTTAGAGTAAAGATCATGTAGAAGGCTTCTTTCAAAAGACTTCCCAATGCTGTGACTTATTTGTGAGGGACTAGCTCAAGATGCTCACTCCAGAATTTAAAAACACTGTATAAAGATTTTTTACTAGAACTGAATCAGCAGTGCTAACCAGAGTGCTCTCTAATCCTTGTAAAAATTATCCATCTGGTTGATATCAGTAAGTCTGCTCTATTTCTCTACTCCACCACTCCCTATATACTTTGCATTAGTTGTGAAAAGGTGATTTCTATTTGATATAGTCCTCATGGATTTTTTGAAATAAAACTTTGAACAACCTGTAAATTCTACCCACCCCAGTTGGGAACAGAACTTATTCAATGACATTTACAATAAAACAAACCATCACAGATCCATTATGTTTTCGTGAGAAATGTTTTAAATTATCTTAATGTGGTTGAGCCCAAGATGCCTGTAGTAAGATTTAAATGAGGTCCTAGAATTGTGATAATCACCTGCTACCCAGCTGTTAAAATTATATCCAGGCTCATGCAACTGGGGAAAAAAAACCCAAACATTCTGTAAGACAAAAGGAGAGCAGGCCCCCAGCAAAAGCTGAAAGCTTTTACATGTGCACCAGTGGCCAGATCTGCACTATTCCCAATGAGCAGAAGCAAACCATGGGGGAAAACTCTTCCTTTCCATCCAATGTGGGTATGAGCCCTCCAACTGAGGAATCTATCCTGCTAAGCACAGCACTATCTCTATCTCAAACTCTTTAACAGTCAGAAACAACAGTTTAAATTCTACCCAGAAATGTGGCAGTAAGTCGGCCACAATCTCAGTGCTGACAGGGTCTGATGACAGTACCCTCACTACCAGCTGTGCACAAAAGCTGTGCTCCTTACTTATTCACAGGCATGTTCTTCCAGGGCTTACTGACCAGCCACACACAAGCAGAAGCCATTTATTTAATGTGTAGGCTATCCTGCTGCATGCCACATTGCCCCTGGGCCCCGCAGCAGGCACACTTAATGCCTCACATCCAAACTTCTTGGGGATTTTAAGCATCTTAAACACAGAAGGTCCAACTGGTGCAATAGCGGGGAAACACCACTCTTACCATCAGCTAAGCAAGCATCAGGGCTGTGACTGGCTTCCTTGTCCTGCGCAAGCAATGCATGGCGGTGACTGGGGCAGTACTGCTGACCCACGCAAGCAACGCAAAAAGGTGAGTCCAGCCGCACTGCCAACACGCCTGCAGTGCAAGGGGGTGACTGCGATTGCAGTGTCAGCACTGCAAGCCATAAGAGAAGGCAACTGGGATGGCACTGCCACTGCCCACAAGCAATGCAAGGAGGTGACTGCGATCGCAGAGGCAGCACGTGCAAGCCAGGCAAGGAGGTGACTGCAGCTGCACTGCCAGTGCACACAAGCAATGCAGGGAGGCAGCTCTGATTATAGCACCAATGTAATCAAGCCATGGGAGAAGGTGATCAAAACTGCACTGCTCACACACACACACAGACAACATACAGAAAGAGGCAACGCCAGCACATGCGAGCCATGCGAGGAGGCAACTGGGATGGATGGCTCCACTGACACACACAAGCAATCCACAACAGTGACCAGGACAGCCCTGCCAACACAAACAAGCAATGAAAGGAGATTACTACAATTATAGTGTCAACATGTGCAAGCCATGCAAGGAAGGAGCTCCCATGTAGAGACAACACACGCAAACCATGGGCAAAGGCAACTGGGACAGCACTGCCGACACACACAAGCAATACAAGGAGATGACTGCGATTGCAGTGCCAACACATGCAAGCAATGCAAGGAGGCAGTTGTAACTGCACCACCAAAACACAACAGCAGTGCAAGGAAGCAACTCTGATTATAGCACTGACACATGTAAACCATGACCCTAGCAACTAGGATGGCACACTGACACACAGAAGCAATGCAAGGAGGCAATTCATATTATAGTGCCTGACGCATGCAAGCCACAGGAGAAGGTGATCACAATGGCACTGCCAACACATGCAAGCAATGACTGTATCACAGAATCACAGAATCATTCAGGTTGGAAAAGACCCTTGGGATCATCGAGTCCAACCATCGGCCTGAATCTACAAAGTTCTCCCCTACACCATATCCCCCAACATCTCATCCAAATGACCCTTAAACACATCTAGTGTCTTTGACTGTAGTGTCAATGCATGCAAGCCACTCAAGGAGGTAACTGCAACTGGACTGCCAACCCATGCAAGCAATGCAGGGAGGCAACTGCTATTACAGACACCACGTACAAGCCATGGGTAATGCCAACTGGGATGGCGCCACCAAAACACAGAAGCAGTGCAAGAGGGCAAGTCTGATTACAGTGCCCGATACATACAAGCCATAGGATATGGTGATCGCAACTGCACTGCCAAGGCACACAAGCAGTGCATGGCTGTAATCAGGCCAGCCCTGCCCAGACAAGCATGCAATACAAGGAGATGACTGCAATTCTAGTGTCAGCCCACGCAAGCCACGCAAGGAGGCGACTGCAACTGCACGGCCAACGCTTGCAATGAATGCAAGCCATGCAAGGTGGCAGCTGATGACAGAGACAACACATACAAGCCTTGGGTAAAAGCAACTGGGACGGCAGCGTCAACACCCACAAGCAATGCAAGGAGGTGACTGGGCCAGCGCTACCGCCACACGCCAGCAACAAAAACAGGCGCGACGACCCACGCCAAAGCCACGCAGAGGAACGACGAAGCGTGGAGGGAGCCCGGCCGCCCACACCCGTCAGCCGTGGGAGAAAGCGAGGGGCTGGCGCTGCCCACACACACACAGAGGCAACGCGAGGAGGGGCCGGCGCGAAGGGGAAGGCGCTGAGGGGACGCTGGAGGCCGCGGCGGGGGAGCGAGACGG